AGATGAACACTGTGACACTAATGAGGCAAATGCAGGAGCTCCCCGATTAAAACAAGCTTGGAAGCAGGAGTGGCATCCACCTCCATAATAGCTTGCCTCTGGAAACCCTATGAACCTGGGGAAAGGACCAAAGTTATACAGGTGTCCAGGACCTTCGTCCATAGGGTCTCTATGAATTGCCTATGACTTGATGGGACTTAACAACAACAACAGAGTGAAAGAGAGGAGGAGAGAGCGAGAGCGATGAGACAGCGAGAGTAAGAGCGAGAGAGAAAGACACGGAGCAGTTGGACTAGCAAACAGAAAGTCATGTTCCCATGCCAAAGGTGGGTGACTCTACTCCACAGCTCTCAGGCCTGCCTTTAATTGTTTTTGATGAGACATTCTTCTAGGTCATGTAACCCTAGCATGTCCACTGGCTGTACAGAGTTAACTCATGGTTGCTGTGAAGCCAAACACTGTGACATTGATGCGAGAATGGTTACCCATGGAGTACTGTGTTTGGTGGAGCTCCCTGATTAAAACAAGCTTGCAAGCAGGAGTGGCATTCACTTGCACAATAGCTTGCCTCTGGAAACCCTATGAATCTGGAGAAAGGACGAAAGTTATACAGGTGTCCAGGACTTTCATTCACAGGATCACTATGTGTTGCCTAAGCCTAGACGGCACTTAACAACAACAACAATAGATGTTTGTGAAAGAGCTTAGTATAGCTTGTCTCATTTACTGGGTTTAATCAAATAGAAAGTGGCCTTCAGGGACAACGAAAGACTAGTGAACAAGTCAAAGTCTTACACATTTAACATTTGTTTGTTGAAAGCAAAGTTATAAAAGCAAATAAAATTAAACATGTTTATTGCTTTTCTTCAGAAGAACATAAAAATTATGGAGGATAAACTAACAGAAAATTTTTACAAGTAACTAAATTTTTTTCCTTTCAGTAGTCCTTGGGTAGTTATGGCAGAATAGGTTCCACTTTTTGTTTGTTTCCTTGAACAAAGATTTTAGTCTTTTGTTTGTTTGTTTGGTTTGGTTTTAGTATCTGCTTCTGCCTTCCCCTCTATCAGATCAGCTTCCTCCACAGTCACCACCTCTTGGTGATCTGTGGCTTGAACTACTTGCTGTAGGAATCATGTGGAGGAGGGTACTCCCTTTCCATAGAAGGAGGAAGCCCTCGTTCTTCTCTGCAAACCCACTTATGGTTGCTTGAGCAACTGTCTTAACTTCCACCATATCCATCATGTGAGCTTCCTGTAATCATTGTAGTCACTTCTTCCACTTTGAGATGGTGGGGGCCCTCGTGTAGGTGGAGCACTACGTGAGCTACCATAACTCTCATAGGAATCTCTATAGGAGCCTCCACTAGGATCATCTGCATAATCATGATCAGGACCATAGCCATCTCTATCAGTATAGCCTCTGGATGGATAGTTACCACGAGAACTGGAATGACCATGATCATGATATGTATAACCTCTTGATGGTGGTGCATAATCTCTTATATCTTGAGAATTTGGGCAATCTCTGCTTGAATAACTATCTTTAGTAGAATAACCATCATCTCTGGGGGACAAATAAACATCTCTGTGGGAAGGCAAGGGTTTCCTTCTTGGCAGATCTCCATAACTGTCTCTTCCACGTGATAAAGGTGCTCTTCCATTCATCCCATTGCTGCTTCAAACTGGTCCTGAAGGGGCTGATCTTTTAGGAGGCCCTCAACTTCATGGTGATGGTCCTCTTTTCACTGGCAGTGGTCCCCAGGAAGAATTCGTGTAAAAATTCATAGAATAGCCACCATCATCCATGTGACCCCTACGTGAAGGGGGTCCCATGGTTCCTCCACTTCTTCCTCTTCTACATCTTGGAGGAACTCTGCTTCTTGGAGTTGGAGGTCCATGTCTACCACTTTCAAATGTTGGTTTAGTGGCTTGTTCCACCTTGATGGCCTTTCCATCTAAGGACTTTCCATTCATATCTCTGGCTGCATCTTTGGTATCCACTGGACTTTAAAAGGTGACAAATGCAAATATTCTTGACTTGTTGTTTTCTTGGTCCTTCATCAAGAGCTCTTTTACAATTCATCCATATTTACCAAATACGGCTTCCAGGACTTTCTCATTTGTTTCTGTAGTGAACCCTCCAATAAAGAGCTTTTCTGGGCGATCAGCTTCAACCATTTCCCCCCCGCCAGGGGTGTGTATTGCAGACCAGATGACCATTCCAAAGTCCTTTGAGCTGGAGGATTGGCACTTTGGTGAGGCTCTGCACAAAGGTGTGCTTCTGGGCACTACTGCTCGCATTGCTGAGCAATGAGGGTGAAGAAAAGAGACAACCTGTTTTCTTTTTAAGTTTAGATTAGAATATTGTTATTTTTTTAGCTCCGATTTAAGGTGCCTTTTTAATTACTTACAACTTCATGGATGCTGTATGTGAAAAAAAAGTGCTTAGGTTCATTGCTTTTACTGACATCTGTCTCACATGTAAAGACTTGTGAAGCTGTAAGAGGCCCATTTTTAATTGGGGTACAAGCATGAGGCTATTGGTTTCAGTAGATCAGCAGTAGTTATTGGCATAACTAATTTTAAGACATTCATGTATCAAAGAATGCAGACTGTTCTCTCTGTTACTATTCATACATTCAAATTTTTAGTACCTAAATGGATGCTAATCTCTGAGTACCCAATCCTCAGGTAGGAGAGTCATGAAAACTGTAAATATACATTTGATCAATCATGTTTAAAGGCTTTTTTTTAATTATTTTGTGTGCGTGTACCGTCAAATCAGATCTGACTGGTACAGGAGGATATTGCGCCTCCTTCTCCGGCAGAGCATCTGGTGGATTCGAGCTGTGTTCCTCTGGGATTGCAGTGCAGCTTCTTGCCACTAGGCCACCAGAGCGCCCCTAAAGGCTTTGAATAAAGGCTTCCTAACCACTTTTTCTAAGGAGCAGTCAGATTAACACTTAGTTAGGACATGAACATTAGAAGCACCTTTAATTTTTTAATGCCTTTTGAATGTATATGGAGCCATGTCAATCTTCTTTTTAAAAGTATTAGTTTGGCTTGATTATACTTCGGGTTTTGTGAAGAAAAGTTCATTTTTGAGTAAGGGAGAATATAATACATTTGATTTCAATGACATTATTTATTGCTTTTACAAAGTGCAGGTCAGTGGATGGTTTAGTTCTTTTAGATGAAGTGTCATATGTGTTTAAGTTCATAGTCCTTTACTGGTTAAAAAGGGATACTTTCTGACAGCCACTGACCATGAAATAGAACTATTAACATGACATTGCCTTCTCAGTCTTCCAGAGTTATGGTGGACACATGAAAAATTATTTTTTACTTAGAGAACAGCTGCTTGCATTGTTTTGCTTACAAGGCTCATAACAAACCCTTTGAGGACTCAAACTGGTGGGAACAATTGAGTGACTTCTGTTGATGTTTTCAGTTGAGCTAATTAAAAGTGGTTTCTATTTGGAGTCAATATTCAGGTCACAGTAAGCAAAATCTTTATGTGATTGATCTTTTTCCCCCCTCTCTAGGGAATTATGTCTTGTGTTTGACAGTATTAAAGCAATTAATCATTATATGTTTTCTGGAGAAGTAGAGATCTGTTGTATTTCCCTCAAAAAAAGTTGTCAGGGCTACTTCTGGATTTTAGAGAAAAACTTTTTTTAAACAAATTTTTATTATATTATTTTTACGTGTACCTTCAAATCAGATCTGACTGGTACAGGAGGAGATTGCCCCCTCTTTTTCCAGCAGAGCATCTGGTAGATTTGAACCGCGTACCTCTGGGATTGCAGTGCAGCATCTTGCCACTAGGCCACCAGAGCGCCCCCTAGAGAAAAACTTTATTCAATCTGATTGATCTTTATAGTCACCTTGGGCATCTACATAGGGAGTGCTGGTAGCCTACTGCTCCAACTACTCTGTGTAAGAAAGATGGACAATCTCCTGTGCAATTAATTGCTTCTGAAAACCCACAGGAGGGTCAGCTATGGGTCAGTTCTGACTCTATGGTACAAAGCAACAACAACAACAACAAAAAGTCCTTCTCTTAAATACAAGGGATATTATGTTGTAGTGTATAATACAGAATTCAATTTCACCAGCTATGTGTAAACCTGTTTCTACCTTAGGTATAAATGAAATAAGTCACAACCTACAAGACATTTCAGATCATTTATAAGTTACATGACTTTAGCACTAAGTTACATTTTTACTAGAAATGGGCCACCTTAAATAAACAGAGGAAGGTGTAATCAATTTTAAATTTTTCCAAACATATTTAGTTAACAGTATACTCATTAAAATTATAATTCTATATTTATAGGTAATTTTTAACATGTACGGTCATCAAGAATCACAGAAAGCCTTGCATTTTAGTAAAAAAAAGATAAGAGGAGAAGGATTGGCTAGCCTTTTTTTCTTTTCTTCTGAAGGCTCTGAGGTCCCCATTTTCAGGAGACCACATAGTTTTTCATCCTAAAAGGAATGATGTACAAAGTATACAAATTCATACAAAGATGGAAAAGCAAAGAATGGATTTCTGATGCAGTTATCTGTAACAAACATATGAGAGACACATATGTGAACAGACACATTTTGTTAGGTCTTTTCCCATCAACTTTAGATACGAAAATATAAAATCACATGATCAAAAACTAAGGTAGTTTTGAGCTTTCTTAAATGAAACTGTATTTGGTTTAGAATGTCCTTAATATATTTCATTTTACTAAAGTAAATGTTCCATTAAAGTTAGATGGAAGTGAAGGTTAAAAAAAGGAGAATCATAACACAAATATTTCATGATTTTAAAAGTAAAATATGTTAAGGCACTACATATTGTCTTTGGTTAAATAAGGAACTACGGAAATAAATTAGAAAAAAAAGAAGTAATAAAAGTACATAAGTTCGCCCTTCCAAATATACACACGTATAATTTTCCAATTTCGATTACTTCAATCCAGGGTCTACATATTTCTGGGATCCTTTTTAATTCATCAGAAAGCTGAAACAAATTTATATATAAAACTATTAGTCTGTGAAGAAATGTTGACTTTGCTTCTAAGAAATAGATAGTATCGTGAACTTAGCAGAAGAGCAATCTGGGTGCATGCATGATAGTCAATAAATGGAATTGAGAAACACTGATATTAAGTAGGTAGTCTAAGGGGCAATGGAAAGAGCTTTAACTTCAAGTTAAAAACTTCTATCTCCTTTTTATTGTACAAAATTATAAAATTAGAAATTACAAAGTAAAATAATATTGAATCATTCATACACATGGGATGACAAAGCAAAATATTACAATGAAATGTGCAATGAACCGAACTCGGTCTGCATTTCTTCAACTCAAGGAACTGAAGAAGAAATTCAAACCTTGAGTTCCTATGATAAAGGATGCTTTACGCAGAATATTAAATGGTCCAGGAAGTATTAAAAGATGATGGAAAGAATATACTGAGTCAATGTATCAAAAGGAATTGGCAGATACAGAAGAATTTCATGCAACAGCATATGAGCAAGACCCTATGGTGATGAAGGAAGAAGTACAAGCTGCTTTGAAGGAAATAGCAAAAAATAAGGGCCCCAAGAATAGATGGTATACCAATTGGCGTATTTCAGCTCACAGATGCTGCCCTGGATGTGCTCACCAAGTTGTGCCAAGAAATCTGGAGAACAACCACTTGGCCAACTGACTGGAAGAGATTTATATTTGTTCCCATTCCAAAGAAGGGTGACCCAACAGAGTGTGGAAACTATAGCACAATACCATTGATTTCACATGCAAGCAAGATTTTACAGAAGATAATCCAAAAGCGACTGGAACAGCAAACCAGCAGAGAACTGCCAGAAGTCCAGGCTGAGTTTGGAAGGGGTCGTGTTACTAGGGATATTGTAGCTGATGTTAGATGAAACTTAGATGAAAGCAGGGAATACCAGAAGAATGTCTATCTGTGTTTAATTGATTATGCAAAGGTGTTTGACTATGTGGATCATAAAAAACTGTGGCTGACTCTGAGAAGAATGGGAATCCCAGAACACTTGATCATTCTAATGCTAAACGTATACTTGGACCAAGAGGCAGTCATCAGAACAGAACAAGAAAACACTGCATGGTTCAAAATTGGGAAGGGTGTATGCCAGTGATGTGTCCTATCTCCATACCTTTTCAACCTGTATGCAGAACAGACTCTCTGAGAGGCTGGGCTCTATGAGGAGAGGTGTGGTGTCAGGATTGGTGGAAGTTCTATCAACAATCTGTGTTATGCAGATGACACAACCCTGCTTGCTGAAACTGAGGAGGACCTGAAGGGTTTGCTGCAGAGGGTCAAGAACTGCAGTCTTCAATATGGATTAAGGCTCAAAATCAAGAAGACAAATATTCTCACCACTGGACCAATTGGCAGCATCAGGATGGATGGTGAAGAGATTGAGATTGTTAACAACTTTAGTCTGCTTGGTTCCACAGTCAAC